AAAGTTGCAGGCGGTGTGCCGACATGAAATACTGTCCCGCTCTGCTGAGCACGCCAAGCTTTTTAGAGGCCAATTTGGCCTTCTCTTCCAAGTGACCACGAAACTATACGTCACTCGATATGTCGACGCCGAGGATTCCGATACTAACTGCGGAATAATTCTGTCCAAAGATAATGAATGTCATGTCCATCGTATTATCACTATGAATTTCATTAGAGAAGAGCTTAATTTCGTAGGAACGTGTAGCTCTTTGAAATACCCCAACGCTTGTTTCTTATAAACTATAATAACTAGACAATGGCTTAAAGTGCACCTTTGTTGTCAATAAGCTGAGGAGCCTTTGTGACGTCATGTTGAAACGAGACCTCTGGTTGTGGTGCCTTTGTGTCCACGTACATAACATCAGCCGAGCAGACAGATCAAAACGGTTTCAATAGTACTTTTTTGGCCTGCTTTGTACTTGTTGTAATTAAATAGTCATTAATATATAGGGTTCGAACCCACGACCCTACTATTGTAATGCATATTCATCATAGAGACCTTCTCTAGTATTGCTTTTGTATCATAGACCTTACTTTCATAAGTCATTAATATATAGGGTTCGAACCCACGACCCTACTATTGTAATGCATATTCATCATAGAGACCTTCTATAGTATTGCTTTTGTATCATTGAGTTTATTATCATAAGTCCCTAATATAGGACTAGTCATTGTGCTACAGTACTTCAAGCAGTCGGGCTACCGACCACCCCATATATATGTACAACTGCAGGTATGTATCTCCGGCAGCTCCTCCATACAAGACATCTATACATGAACACCTTCCACAACTTAGGAAAATTTTCTTTTATACATGAACTCCTTCCACAACTTAAAGAATTTCTTTTATACATGAACTCCTTCCAAGACTTAGACAATTTTTAACAAATTTTCTAATTATCTTATAAATGTTATTTATCTTTATCTTTATAATATTTTAGACTTGTAATTCTATTATTTATCTTATTTTAAATATTTTTTCAAGTTTTTAAATAAATTTATTTATTATGAAAGACAATATTTTGCCTTTAATTTACTATGTTATTGGTCTAATGTCTGAAATATATTTATATTAACTTTATGTTTATTGATGCAATTTTATTGCTTAATATATATATTTTAAAACTATTTTTGACGCCCCTTTATGTTGAACTTAATTATTAATAATAATATGGGGCCGTCACAATATCAATGATATGTTGTAAGCCGGTAACATTCATTACTATGCGGATGACAGCACTAGTGATGCTCTGTACACATGCCGTGTCAATATTTCTCGAGAAAACATTCCGAGTACCGAGACAAACCTGTATATGAAGTCAAGTCTTTGGTGAACAAAGTATCTGATTAGGTGCAACTAATTCTAGTCCAGTTTAATCCTCAGAAGACACAAGATTGCACATTTACCGCTAAAGAGAACCCCTTTGTCGTATCTCCTCAGTTTTTAGGGCACTCCATTTGTTGCCTCAGCCAATGTTGGAATCCTTGACGTCGACGTATCGAGTGACGGGTAGTTTTGTGGTCACTTGCCTTGCCACTTCATGTCCTCTAAAAAGCTTGGCGTGTTAGGAAGAGCGGGATAGTATTTCATGCCAGCACACCGTATGCAACTTTATAAGGCGTAGGTTCGTCCTCACAAGGAATACTGTTCCCATCTCTGGGTTAGGGCTCCTTAGTGCCAGCTCCTTCCATCGACTGCATTCAGCGGCTCGAATCGTCGACGACCGAGTGCTTTCTGATCGGCTCGATTCACTGGTGCTATGAAGACATGTTGTATCTCTGCATTTTCTTTCGCATCTACTACGGGGAGTGCTCTCAGGAATGAACGTACTACGCGGAAAAACTCGCGATACCATCCACACCATCTGCCTGTTTGACGGTCCATCCAGACGGATACGACTTAAGGACCTTCCAGAAAAGGGCTTACTTCTTTCTAAAAGCAGTGTTTATGAGCATCGGTAATCACTCAACATCAGGTGACCCATAAGCTCGTTTGCCCCCTCTCCTACAAAAAAAATTAAAAGAAAATGATGGCATCCAAATGTCTTGGAGACATAATGGTATAATAGAATGGTTTTTTTGAAATGGCAATCGAGCACACAGTCTACCTGATGGTAAGTGAATGTTGTGATCCACAGATATCTGCATCTAACCTCGAATACGAATCAAAAGGACCAATCTGAGGACTAAAAGGGAATGCCTCATTTTCATTAGAAAGGATCTAGTTTTTGTACACTCACCATACGAAATATAACAACACACTTCCCCGTTCCAGCCAACCTATTCATGCAACAACCACAATACACCTGCAGCATGGATTTACCACGTACAAAACGTCCTGTCTAGTGAAATAAGTTATTTTAAATTTAATAGTTGCGAATGGTCCTTGGTAGAAATTGGTGTACTCTTATTAGTTTTTGAGAAGATTTGTATTTGATAGACAGATTTGGCTGTATTTTCTGGGACTATGTTTGATAATTATAATAGGAACTAGGTATTATTGTATTTTGCTTAGTTTTTATAGTTAGTAGAAAGTAGAAGGATAGGTTGCGGTGGTTAATATTATAACTTTGTACTGAGATAAAAAAACAGGTAAGGTTGGCATTTTTAATAAGTAAACACATGACCTCGACGTAATAAAACGGGATCAACGAATATCGTTCAAATGAGAATTTGTAGCCTCAAAATTGGAATTTTATTGAAGTCCTTTCAAAAGAACCTTTAGGAAAATCTCATTACTTTCAATGATCACAAGTAACGAAAAATAACAATTTGAGGATATAATTAAGGCTCCCAGAAACAATTTTAAGTTATAATATTTGGATGTAGTTTTTTTAATGTTTTTTTTTCTTATTAGAAATATTACCGTGGCTCCATAGCGCAGTGGCTTAGTGATGAGTTACAGGTTCGAATCCCACACTGAACAAGTGCTTGTATGGTCGACAAATAATTGTTTGAATTTTTGTGCTGGTGAAATTTATTTGTGTAAAGTTTTTAGGGAGATTTTTTGCGACTTTTTTTTCTATTACACTCGAATTTTATTCTGTATCATGGTGGCATTTTACATACGTACATTACTCACGGACTAATACTAATAATAATGTAGATATTTAATAGTTATCTTCTTTTTACACATATATTTATTTATTTAGAAGTCATTTTAACTGTGACCAATAGGCTCATTGTCGACTTCAAGCATATCTTATTAGTTGGTCAACTTACACCGTACTTTCCTTAATGCTTACATATACGAGACTCCCATTCGAAAAGCATTCTTGTTGGTTGTTTATTCTTCAAGTATGTGGTCAGCCTATTGTCAATTTTGCTTACTGTTCTATATCGGTCACTCTGGTAATACTGTGGATATCCTAATAACGAAGTCTATTAGAGAGAGAAACTCCGAGTATAACCCCTTTCCATTGCTTGTTGAACAACTTTAAATTTCATCGTACAGCCAGTAGTGAAAATACACGTCTCAGATTCATATACCATATTTAACAACACACACTACGGTTTTCAGGTTTTGAAGAAAACGAGACTAGAAGATTATGCATGCTGCATGGTAATCTCCCGAACGCTGCCTAACCGAGTTGAATCCGTACACCACTACTTACATAGTCGGGAAATTTGTTATAGGTATTATTTATATATTATTTTCCAATAACCGGCCAAATTTATAGAGAAGGTTCAGAATAGGCAAATGGCGAAGAAAAATAATTGAAAAAAATCCCAAATATTCTGTCCTTTTTACCTTTTAAATTCAAAATGCGTGGTAATGCATTATTTAATGGATTTTATTGCGCACGCATTCATTCGTAAGGGTTCATAGGTAAGCAAAAATATTGTCGTATTTTCTAAATTTGGAATAACGGTATATTAGGTATCATTTATATATTTGAACTTAAGTTTAAAATTTGGCTACTCCTTGAAAAATTACCGTGTATCTTAATAATGGTTTAAAGTTACTAAGCCACGTTGTGATTATAGTTATCTCTATATTTGTGTATATATTTGTGCATATGTATGTGTGTAATATATATATATATATATATATATATATATATATATATTTATATATATAATACCGTTATGTAGGGTCTTAGGTATTATTTAGATAGGTGTGTTTATGACTGCTTTTGATAATATTCTTTTTATGGTCTCTTTAACGAACTTCGTAGTGTTATCACTGCCTTATAGGTGATTGGCAAAGAATGCTTTTAGCATTAAGTGCTATTATTAAGTATGTACTGTTTTGTGAAGTTCAATAAAGATTAAATAAATACTCGTTAGTAATTTCGAGCGTAGTTCTCTCAACAAATACGTGTGAAATGGACATAGACATGGACATTTTTGTTAGGAGACACTATTGAGTCATCGAACAGTGTTAATTTAATATTAGGTCTGTACCTATGAAATTGCCATTCTTATATCATTTAATATTTTTATATCATTTAATAAAAGTAATAACCCATGCGGTCGATGCATCCGTGCATACGCAGTGGCAGTTTATTGATGCCCTTCTTGAAGAAATCAGCTGGACGGGTGGCAAGCTATAATTCAAAGGCAGTTTGTTAAAAATTCAGTACCCGAGAGGCAATACAAACTATTGCCTCTAGGGTACTGAATTTTTTTCCTGCCAAAAAGTTATCCAAGTTCTGGAGAAAGTGCAAGTCTGTAGGCGCAAGGTCTCGTGAGTACGGCGGATGACGTAGAGCTACCAACCACAGCTCTTGTAAATTAGAGAACTTATATTGTGCAGTATGAGATCGTGCGTTGTCGTGTAGGAGCAACGGGGACGAGCGTTGGCTCAAAGCCGGTTGAAGCCGTGCGAGCTTCACTGAACACATCTGCAGTAATTCTTATCTCGTTTGGTAAGAAGCTATGATGAATCACACAGGCGCTAGACCAACAAACAGTGATCATTACTTTTCTAGGAGTAGGTTTTCGTTTAAAGCATTATTAAGATTCTGAACCAGGATCTAAACAACTTGCTGAGCGCTTGCGATTGTCAAACAGAATCCATTTTTCGCCGCAGATAACAATGCGGTTCAAAATTTCTCCGTTTATGTGCCTATTGAGCAGAGTAAGGCACGCTTGGTCGCGTATTTCACGCTGGCGATCATTGAGCTTGTGGGGCACCCAGTTTTCAAGCTTTTTTACCTCGGCAACTCGTCGTAAATGTACCAATATTCTGTCGAAAGCTGTTGCTGATTCAGCCGTAGATTGATTATTATCATCAGCTTCCATAATCGCCTTTAATTTGTCATTGTTGACTAAAGTTTTCGGACGCCCACGGGATTCATTTTTTAGGTCGAAATTTCCAGAACGGAAGCGGGCAAACCACTAAGTAAACGTCGTCGATGTTGCATGCCTCTTGTGCCGCGATGCTGCCATGACGGTGCTCATAATTACATAATTACTGAAATGTTAACGTATCCATGATGACGAAAAAGATTCAAATGCGATGAAAACATAACGATAAAATAACATACTTAATCAATGAACGAATGACTAATTTTGGAAAAAGAATTCCATGTTTTTAAAATAAAATTAATTTGAAATTAGAATTCTTAGCCAAACAAAAATTATTTGACTTGAAATGGCTAGTACTGCAGAACGGCTGTTTCATAGGTAAAGATCTATTAATATAGGATTTTTTTTGTAGAATGTCTATTAAATAAATGAGAAATAAATGTCTACTAAATAAATGAGTATTGATGAGATGGTATTATGAGAAAAATATTCTAATCCCTTTTCATTAATTAATATCAGTTGAACAATTTTAATTTTCCTTGACGTAACGAATTCTTTTCTTTTTTAATTTAAATTTTTTAATTTTGAAATAAATTATAAGAGATTCCAATCTGTATATAAACTTTCTATATAAACTTAGGATTAGGATTAAAGTGTCTTTAGATTCTGTTATGTTTTTATTTCTATCTCCTAAGTTTGATTCACAGTAAACTACAGCCGCACGATGCCGGAGTAGGTTGCTAGTTTTGTGATCAGAGAGCCTAGACAAGCGGCATTCGCTCCGTGTCTAATCCATTTCGAAAATCGATTTCGTCTTAGCGATATCGAACTTAAAGTGGTAGCAGATCGTATCCGTCTTATTATAAAATATAATATGCGAACTGAAATATAAAGTATGTAATTTAAAAGTGAATTTCTAATTTCGCGAAAATTATGACCTCACGGTTAAATGACTTTTTTATTGAGAAATACTCTGATCATGATGCCATCTCTGTTTGAAGTTGGTTGCAGGTATTCATAGTCTGCAGTAAGCACTTACTATCATGTTTGTTTTCACTTCAGATTTATAAAAAAAAAATTGACGTAATATGTTGTTTAGACGGGTTTCTTTCTGTTTAACTGGATCCAACCATGGAAACTTATTGATAGTACATTGTCGAAAAACTAAAAAAATATGAAAATCAATGATATTCAAAAATTAGAGAAGTTGTACGTGTGTGCGTGTGTGTATGTGTGTGTATGTAAACCTCTCATAGCTTTCGAATGGTCTAACCGATTTTTATGAACTTCGTGGCGTTAAAAAGGGTTTCACCAAACTTAGATTTTCAATTTGCTTCAACCGATTTGGATCGGTAGATTTTCAGAAATGTCAAAAATAGCATTTTCAAAACATGTATTTTTCTATTAAATTTTAAACAGATTTAACGAGCAATTCAAAAACCATATCAGCTCTTAAACATAGAAAACGACGTTTATTGCTGCGGACCGCTTCAAAATCAGTAATGCGTTGAAGAGAAATCAAAAACGAAAAATTTCGAAAAAAGCATTTTTTTCACATAAATTTGGAATTTATAGTCTAATCCTTTATGATAATAGATATTATTATTGTTCTTAAAATGTCTCGTTGATTGCCTACAAATACACCAAAATTGGTTGATTTGTTCGAAAGTTATCGTTGTCAAAAAAAAGTGTTTTTTTTTTTAATAACTTCGCATTTTCTGCTCGGGTCGTTTTTGATGTTGATGAAGTTAACTATTAGTTCGTAAAAATATTTGTCGAGCGTTTTGAGATCGAACATATTGGGAAGTTCCAGGGATGACCAGGGTTGCAGGGTAGACAGATTTTTTATAGAACAAGGGTGATGAACCGACCACTCAAACCGCCTGATGGTAAGGGGATGCTGTGGCCCATAGACATCTAAATCTATCCTCGAACAAGAATCGAAATGCTGATGCGATGTCACCCCTGAGAACTAAGATGGAATGTCTCATTTCCAGTAAAAGGGATCTCCGGTTCTCTACAGTCATCATAACAAACACAGCAGTATTGAGCTGCTATTTTTCGCTAATATTCTGTGAGAGCAGCTTGGTCCTTCCCCGGTGAAGTTTACCTATTCGTGCTACAATCATAGTCTTTCTGCATCGTGGCTCTCCCACGTAATTATTCAATTATTGCTATATTACATACATTTTACTTACGATTTCTTTAAGCAGAATGGTGAGTAACATTTCATAGAATAGTTTAACCACACCAAAAGCAACATTCGCTAATTATCCGAACTTTCCAGTTAGAGAGTTATTACACCGGTAACCGAGTAACGAGCAAACTTTAAGAGGCTATAATTAGTTATTTCATAGACGTGCTAAAATATTTTAGTAGTTCGTCTTCAAAAATTCTACAGTCTACAGAAAAAAAGTGGTACTGTCCACCATTATTACCGTCCCGAACATCTTGCAGCATGAGATTTACAGCAACAGTTCTTGGCTGCTCCATTGGGTATTCATTATATTATAATAAAAATTTAGTCTCTGATGACATACGCACTGAGACTGGCACACTATGCCTTCAGTATCACTGTATGTAGCAGTTGTTACCGAATGAATGAATCGATATGAAATGATCCGTAGAATTGTTTTAGTAAATTAGGCCTATAAATGCTATTCTAGCCAATCCAGGTGTATAACAGGATTAAAAGTATCATAGTTTTGGTTAATATTCGCTATTTTGTAAATGACTGTTACGCGACAGTGACAGTAAAAGGAAATAATACATTTATTTTCGATTCGTTGACCCGACGTTCTTAATTCAGCTATATTAAGAGAGTTTCTTGGTAGTTAGCTCAAAAGTTAAATGTTATATACGTGTCGGAGATAACGGATAATAGTTATTTTTAATAAAAGAAGAGGCAACCCCCTATAACACCAGTAGCAAAGTTAAAAGTGCGTTGTCAGCTCTTTAGAAAGGAGTAGGTTCTTTTTCTAAAAGTCCCTAATTCGTATCGGTTCCGATAATTACTGGCGTTAGTAAATACAACAATGTGGTTGTGCAAAGCAGAGAAATTTCCCATAAAAGGTACTATTCCTCGTAAAAGGTTCTGCGATCGTCAACCCCTCTGCTTCAGATCAGCATGACTATTAAGGCAAATTTTCCCTACAACGAGATATGTATATGTTCAGCAGTAACCTTTTATGTGCTATGGGGGGGGGGGGGGGGGACAACCATTGCTAAAAGAGCTCTGTCGTATGTTCAACTGCGTTTTACAAGATGAGATGATTCCAAACGCGAGGTGAAGAAGCATCACAGTCTTGTTTTACAAGAAAGTTGACAATATGTTAAAGGATTATCGACCAATCTCACTTCTGAGCTACGTTATATGTCACAATGTTATTTACTTATTTATTATGTCAAATTACAATTGTTATTATAAAAATTATATTTCTTGATATCAAAATAAAATACCTTACGCAAAATTTCTCGCCAAATGTACGACGATATTTAACATTTAACTTACAAGGGACCAACATTTATAAATTGAACAATTAAACTACACAAATAAATTGAAGGAAAATAAAGGACATAAATATTCAATAAAAGTACCGCAAAAAACGCGTAGGGGTATGCCATATGTGCGTTCACCAGTACGAAACAGATATTTGAAAAGGGTTCTTCTTTGACGAGATATATCGTTAATATCTTATGACGTTCTTAACCGATTAGCACTATTATTCCGTTAGGTGCTTAGGGTTGTGTTAACTTGACGGAAAGTGATTAATTGTCAACGAAAAATTGTATTCAGTGTTTACTTTCACACATTATATCATAACATAATATTATAACCCTTCAATCCCCATAAAATCCCATGCAGTCACATGCGTCTGTCAAATCCCGAGCGGTCGCATGCGACCGCACCCACCCACATCACTTTAAACCATTAAAACTTATATTTAGAGACTACTTTTTATGAAGAAGTTTGGCATTATAAAATATATAAAAAACTCTCTATCCTGTGCTCTAAACAAAAGTCAGGTTTTACTTCATTACAAAAAGATTTTATTGTATTTTAATTTAAAAAAAAACACCAAGCGGATGTCGGTAGCGTGAAAATCACAATTATTTCTATATATTACTTGAAATTATTTACGTAAAAAATTATATTCACACAAAAACTTTCATTACAATTTTATTATAAAACACTATACTAAAACACTAATAAAAGACTAGAAAAGTCCAAAAATCAACACAATAACAATCACACGAAAATAGTGCGAAATTAACGTAGATTATAAACAAATATCCATAGACTAAGTGACTTTTTATTTCACTATAGGATAGAAAATTTCATATTGATTCTATAATGCCGAACTTCTTCATAGAAAAGTAGTCTCTAAACATAAGTATTTATGGTAAAACGTAGGTGTCCTAGGGTGGGTGTGGTTGGATCCGACCATTTGAGATTTGAGAGGATAATTAATAGTAATACCCTCCAGATCGGATTGCGCGGGACAGCATTATAGTGTCCAAATGCTTTCTGAGGCACGGGAGTGAAACACAAACAATGTCCTGACTCCGGGCTACCGTTGAGATTTTGTAATCAGAAAAACCCAGTAACTGATTTTAGCCCGACCCGGCGTTTAAACTTGTAACCTTCTTATCAGCATCTGCGTTAACGTTCACTAGATCAACGAGACAACAAGGCATCATAGCAGGAGTAACGAGGTAAACGTGCCTGTTATCGAAACAAGAAAGAATATCGAGCGCTGGAGGTCTAGTCTCTCCACTGAAGCGTCATAAAGCGAAATACTCAAGAAATAAATCACATAGTACAATGTCTGTCGTAATCAATGTCGCTGCTGTTTTTCGCATGGTGAGTGTAGAGTACTGGATACCCATTTTACAGGAAACGAGGCATTCCATCTTAGTCCTCACGGGTGACAAAACATCTGCATTTTGTTTTGTAATTAAGGTTAGTTGTAGACGTCTACGCGCTACAACAA